AAATATTGATCAATATCAGCATCTAATGTCAGAAATAGTTTCTGATTTTTGCAAATTGGCAAACACATTTCTGAAACTGTAAAATGTCTGTCAAAATGGTCTCTCCAGTAACTTATCGTCTTACCTGACAACTTTGTCTCCATCAAGATCAGCTGCCTCAAGATCACGGGGCGAAAACTTTCGCGTGAGAACCATTTTCGCCAATGATCTTTGTCTATCTTCCGTATAAAAATCAGCAAGATATGCAAAACACTAAGCCAATCTAATGATGCTTCTTAATATCCAAAACACAACAAAATTCCTACCAATAGTAGTTGAGAAGCTCTTATCTCCATAACCTAAAGTCGTAACCGTCGAACAAACACAATAGAATGCATCAACGAAATCTAGTTTCTCAACAAAATACAGAAAAAAAGTTCCTGTAATCATGAGTACAACAAAAGTAGATATTGAAAGCAGAAACTTGTATTTGCTTTTCTTAGTCACAAGTTCTTTAGAAACCTCTTCTAGACCGAGTTTCTCGGCTTTGCATATTGCTTTAACAAGATACACTTCCTGTTTTTCAACAATGTAATCTGCTGCTTTGCTAAGAATCAAGCCACCAAGAGCCATACCTGTGAAGACATAAAGACTAGCAAGTAGTTTCGCTATAGTACTATTAGGAAGGAGATCGCCATATCCAACGGTTGTCATCGTGATGACACAGAAATAAAGAGCATCAAGAAAACCATATGTTTTTATGCCTTGAATTTGGTAACTTGCCAGAAAGAAACATAAGGTGCATGTACCTAAGTATGCTGCTAAATAGAAGAATACTGGCTTGAAGTTGAGTTCTGCTTCTTGTGTTTCATATATTAATTGAGGGTGTAAAGGGGTTTGGAGGTCACCATTCTGTTCAATCTCTGTGTCTGAAGTGCCACCACGCCGCGTTCGTCTTCTCTGAAGAAGGTCACTTTTCTCATTGACCTGAGAATGGTCCCTTGTCTCTGAAAGCAATAACTGTTGAGTCTCATCACTTCCCATCAACTTACAAATGCTTCATTCGTTACCTGAAAAATTGAAGTTGTAAGGTATTCACGCCTTGTTTAGATAAACATCTTAATTAAACGCTTATACTACATAATGATTTATCATTTAACTTTTACTAATCAATTTCTATAGTTTTGTATATTTTTTAGGTAACCAATTTGAAGTTAATGAATTGTTATGTAGCCATATATTTTATTTGAGATAGCATGGCTTATGCAGATGACCAAAACTCATAGAATTTGGCCGAAACATTGGATAAATAGCATGGCTTATGCAGATAATATAATGTAAATTATCAACAACTGAAATCCACCTAAATTCAATAACCTATCAACTGTAAATTAGAAACAGCAACTTATGTGACTTTGATACACTTTGAAACAGAACCATTATGTTGAAGCATGGATATATATTCATTACGGTATATTGCAGAGTACGAAAATTGATTTAATTGGTTTGAATTTAATAAGTGCTTTTGAAACACGTGCCTGTTGTGTATGTAATTTGATTTATAGACCAATATCTAAAATGTCTGTGATTTGATCTTGTTCTTATAATATGAAATTGTTTTCCTATATTTAACAGAATCAAGATAACTAATGTTAGTTACTTGACAATGTATGCAACGTCCGAGAATACAGTTTCAACCCCTCCACCTACCGTCTCTAATGAAATGCCACCTCATCACACTAAGAAGCGAAAGAATCGTTCAGAGGCTTGGAATCATTTCATTATATCGTCAGAAGAAGAACAAAAAGCTTCGTGCAAGTACTGTGACACAAAAATTAAGTATAATAATGGAACTAGTTCTATGCATGCTCATTTATCAAGATGCCTTGTTTACAAGAGACAAAGGACATCATCTTCTATGACAAGTGCTGAAGAACATGTTGGCTCTCCTTTAATTGTCAAGTTTGACCAAGAAGCTATTCGAAGAGCAATGGTTAAGATGTTCATTAACATGGAGATTCCTTTTAGGAAGGTTGAACATGCGTCTTTTCATGAATTTATGAGTCTCGCTTCACCAAGATTTCATATTTGTTCGCGCACAACATTGGCACGTGATGTCTTGAAACTATGGAACATAAAAAAAATGATTTTGAAAAACTTTCTCTCTCTGAATTCTCAAAGAGTTTGTCTCACCACTGATATGTGGACTTCTTGTCAAAAGTTGAGCTATGTGTGTGTGACGACCCATTTCATTGACAATAATTGGAACTTACAGAAGAAGATCTTAACTTTTTGTCAAGTCACAAGTCATACAGGGGATGCTATTTGTGAAACAATAGAGATATGTTTGAACAATTGGGGTTTAAACTGTGTGCTTAGTTTGACGGTTGATAATGCTTCATCTAATGATGTTGGGGTTGAACGTCTCAAGAGAAGGCTTTTGTGTAAGAATAGTTTAGTTATGAGTGGAAACCATTTTCATATGAGGTGTTGCGCACACATATTGAATTTAATTGTGAAAGAAGGTTTGAAAGACATTGATGATTCTGTTTATAGAGTTTGTCATGCTGTTTGGTATGCTAGATCTTCTCCCGCGAGGCTCACTAAATTCAAGGCATGTATTGATGAGGAGAGCATGGACTATAAAGGTTTAGTTTCTCTAGATGTTGAGACTCGTTGGAATTCAACTTACTTGATGTTAGTATCTGCATCAAAACATGAAAGAACCTTTGAAGAATTCGGTTTTCAAAATAAAAGGTATGTGAATTAATTTTGCAATCATATACAACTAGTTAGTTATTCTATTATGATAGTTATAAAGGTGATAAAAACTTTATATATTAATAGAAACTAACACAATAACACTTTATTGTTGTTGCCGCGACTATTCTAAAATTATGCAAGTACATAATTTATCTTAGTGTAACAAGTAATAACTACAACAGCTAATTACATTGTCATAAGTTATAAAAGGATTATTGAAGACAATATGTCAACCATGTATACTTTTCTCTCCAAGCATTTAGTAAGAAACTTCACAGGACTAAACTATTTGATATTTTATGTTTTAAGGAAGAATTTATATAAAGTTGAATTGATGTTGAACATTTTATGTTGTGCTAGGTATGTGAATGAGTTGACAAAAAAGGGAAAAGGTGTCCCGATGAAAGACGATTGGAAGCATATAAACTTAATCATTCCATTCTTGAAGTTGTTTTATGATGCCACTGTACATATATCAGGGTCTTCTTATTTGACAAGCAATATTTATATGTTTGAGGTCTTGGGTATTGGAAAGAGCATTGTGGATATGTGTGCGTGTGAAGATGAACATCTACGTTCAACATCTCAAAATATGAAAAATAAGTATGATAAGTATTGGGGATCTCATGAGAAGCTTAACATGATGTTGTTGATTGCTCTGGTTTTTGACCCTAGACGCAAGGTTAGATTGGTTGATTGGATGGTACGACGATATTATAATAAGGTTGATGCTGATGCCTTGAAAGAAACCTTAGAGTCTTGCTTGAAAAATATTTATGAGGAATATTTTACTGGGTTTATGCCTCCTCAAGATAATCCACATGAGTCGCAAGTTTTTGGTAATGTTAGTCATCCATACGGAACTGCTGAGTTTTATCTTTCAGAAGGGTGTGACAATGCAGATAATGAGTTAACCACTTATCTTTGAGATAAGTTAGAGCATAACATGGAGATAAATGTTCTCGAGTGGTGGAAAGTAAATTCTGGTCGTTATCCTATCCTTGCAAACATTGCAAGAGACGTGCTTGCTATACCAATAAGCACATTGGCGTCTAAATCTGCATTTAGCACAGGAGAAAGGGTGCTTGATCCATATCGCAGCTCATTAACACCAACAACTGTCGAAGCACTGATATGCACCCAGGATTGGCTCAAAGGAACATCTTCATCATTGATTACAAATAAAATTTTTGACATTCTTGAGAGATTGGAGCAAGGTATGATAACTAAGTATATTTGCTAATGTATTATTATTTATTATACTTGAGGCATAATGAAATGTATTTATATATTTTGTAGAATTACTTTATACAAAAGATGGTGCTAGTTGTTCAACCTCTTCAACCTCTGTTGTGCTCGAAGAGGACTTAACGGTAAAGAATTCTAAAGTTTTATATATGCATTTTCTTTCCACTCTTGAGCTACAATTTCACTTGTGTCAAAGAATTCACCAACTATTTCACTTGTGTCAAATAATGAATTGTGCCTCTGTTGCAGACTTGATGGAAGTGTTCATACAATTGGGTTTTTGTCATCAGAGGAGAGAATTCTGGTGGAAGTATAGGAATGAAATGTCTTCCAGAAAATTGTGTTGCTAAAGACAATCTTGAGAATCTGGCTCTTGATACCCCTATAAATTTACAATGTAACTTTAAGATTTTAAATCTTGTTAGCTTTGTGAATTAGTGAAGGATGTTGCACATTCCCTATATAATCAACAAGTATTGTGTCAAAGAATTCACCAACTATTTCACTTGTGTCAAATAATGAATTGTGGCTCTGCTACCATAATTTTTGAGAAATTACTTTACTATATCTTAAGGTAAAATCACATATCATATGTTTTAAAATTGTCAATGACCATACATTTTGAGAAATGACCATTTTTTTTTTAAATTAGTGTTTTTAACATAAAATAATTTTAGAACTTTTAAAAATAAAAAATTATTTTTTATATAAAACTTTATTTTTTTAAATTGATTTTAAAACTGGTTTTTTTTATAAAATTGATTTTGAAATCGGTTTTTTATAAAACTGGTTTTGAAATCGATTTTTTAAAGAAAATTAAAAACTGGTTTTTAGAAAAATCAGTTTAAAATTGGTTTCTTTTTAAAAACTGGTTTTTGTGAGAAACCGGTTCAAAACCGAACCGATCCACATGTAAACCGATTTTAGAAATATAAACCGGTTTTAATGAAGTAGTTTTAAGATCCAAACCAAATCATATATATGGTTCAATTTGGTTTGGTTATTGATCCATGCACACCCCTAAGTGCAGAGCCGAACTGGATTTGATGTTTATTCTGGTTTTTAGTTATTCTGGTTTCGGATACTTGAACTGGTGGAAAAGTTAACAAAATTGGTGATTTTTTTGTATGCAGGGCTGCAGTTTGAGACCATTTTGATATAAAGTGAAAGTAAGCAAGGTTTAATGAATCCATGAAGGCAATACTCATATGAGTTTGATTAAAGATAAGGCATGGCTTGAGCTTTGTATATGAAGATCTTTGGAGCAATATGAAGGTGAACGAAGAGACCTTTGAAACAAGCTAAAATGACTTATGGAGCTTTACAACTTGTTGTCACAACTTGTGATTTTTTGTTTTGTAATGTTTCAATATACCATTGTAACTTGAATGATATAGTTTTAATGACTTTCTTAAAGCATAATTTTGTGACGAATTTGGGATAAAAATCCATGAACCATGACGAACATGTATATTAGGAGACTTTGGATAAATATATGGAAGTAACTTCAAATTGTTTTATATGCTCTTGAACTTTGAATGAAGCTTGAGTATCTCTTGAACCCATGAACTTTTAAAACCTTAAATTTGACATGAAAGATAATGGACTTAGAAATGACTTTTCAATCTTTGCCTTGAGATTCATGCTTGTATCCAAAAGGATGAACTTTGCTTAATACTTGTACAAAATGGGCAAATTCGGGAGAACTTTGAATGATCTTGATTCCTTGGTCATGAACTTGAGAGGTGATATGTAAAAATATGGTGTTTCTTTCCTTTCTAGAGTGATTTGAATTCCAAGAAATGCATATGAATTTGAAAGTTTCCATCTTAAATCATTGGTCCAACGTAATAAAATTGAATCAGTTGAACTAACGACTTAAAATTCTCAAAATCCAAGCCAACTTGAAATTTCAAATAATCCAACTACAACATATTTTCTTGCAAGTTTTAAACAATTTTATTTGTTTGAACACTTTTAGAAAACTTAATGAAGGCTAACCAAACAATGATTCCAATTCAACTTCAATTCTTAATGAATAAAATAAAACCCTCGTGTAACTTCAATGAACCCTTAACTCAATTCAAATTCCAATCCAAACCAAAACTTGTGTGTCAAGCAACAAGTACTAGAAGGAATGAAGCCTTTAGCACAAAGAATCTTTAAACTCAACACATAATGGCTCACCCTTTGTATTTGAATCAAACAAAATCATGACCATGCTCGTTGAGGAGAAAAGATCCATGATAAATGGCCATATCACAACCCTTCAGATGTATATTGGATGAAGAAATGACTTAACATCAAAGCCATAGCTTGTAACCTTCTCAATTGAAAGTCCTAGCCTTAAATTGAAAACCCTAGCACTTAATTTATGATATACCTTGACAAAGATCACACTCGAAATATAGGGAGAGAGATGTTTAGGATATCTTTGCAATGAAACCCTAATCTTTTGAGAACTACGGAGAAATATACTATACAATAATTTGGTGACTTTTGGAGAAGAAAATCCCTAAGCTTGATGAAAAGAATCTCCAATAACCATGGATCACAACCCTAATTTCATTCTTCATTGCTTGAGGAAGAACTAGAAGAATCAGGCTTTATTGATATATACATCTGAGCACTGCAAAAACCCTGACTTGCATGTGATAATTTGCAACTCGGGGCTGCAAACTCGCAACTCGAACATCAGAGCGAGAATAAATTGACAACTCGGGGGTTGGAAACTCGTGACTCAGACATCGGAGCGGAAACCAAATCAACAACTCGGGAGTTGGAAACTCGCGACTCAAATTTCGGAGAAGAAATCGAATCAATAGCTCAGGGGTTGGAAACTCGCGATTCAGGGATCAGAGAAGAAATCAAATCACCAACTCAGAGGTTGGAAACTCACGATTCAGAGATCGAAGAAGAAATCAAATTAACAACTCAGTGGTTGAAAACTCACGATTCAGGGATCAAAGAAGAAATCAAATCGACAAACTCACAACTCAGAAGTCAGAGAGGAAACAAACGACGAACTCATGATTCAGGGATCAGAGGAGAAATCAAATTAACAACTCAGGGGTTGGAAACTCGTGACTCAGACATCAGAGAAGAAATAAACTAATAACTTACGACCAGGAGTCGGAGAAGAAACGTATCTGACAAATTCACGACTCAGAAGTCAGAGAGGAAACAAACGACGAACTCACGATTCAGGGATCAGAGGAGAACTCAAATCAAAAACTCATTGGTTGGAAAATTGCGACTCAGACATCGGACAACAAACCAATTGACAAACTCACGATTCAGGGATCAGAGAAGGCTCTACTGAAGAAGTGTCGATCAAAGGCGAACTTACTGGGGATACAAATAAGCATAGACCCTGAATAGAACGCTGATCGAAGGCAAAATTACAAAAAAAAAAGAGACCATATGAAGGGGAATCTAAGAAAGGGTTGCCAACACACGTTGGGCTTTAAGATATTGCAAATACGCAAGAACTACAAAATCCCTCAGGCCAAAGGCGGGGGTGTAATTCTTCAAGAGTGACAATTATCTGAAATACCACACACCAAGTATGGATATTCAAATACTTGAGAAGCAAGAAAGGCTATACACCGTGTAACGCGGTGGGAGAACTGACTTGGTTGTTTTGCGTTTGATCGCAAATGTTGCGGTTTAGCAAGAGTCGCCACCTACTTTTCTTTTATCCAAAAGGAAAGGCTGGAAAGAATAGGAAAGACCTTTGAGATGTTTTCTTGAGTTCGGGGGGTAGATTATAAAAAGGGAAGGTATTAGCACCCTTTTTATCCATGGTTTTCCATGGGCTCTTAGTTACTTTCTAGATCACTAGCTTTTGTTTACAAATGTGCTTTGTGTGGTTTTTGAAAGTATTTTGTAAAGATGCCATCGTTTAGGCAAACTGTGATACGGTAAGAGAACTGACTTGGGTGTTTTGCGTTTGATTGCAAATGTTGCGGTTAGCAAGAGCTGCCACCGACTTTTCTTTTATCCAAAAGGAAAGGTGAAAAAGCACAAGAAAGACCTTTGAGACTGTTTCTTGAGTTCGGGGGGTAGATTATGAAAAGGGAAAGTGTTAGCACCCTTTTCATCCATGGTTTTCCATGGTCTCTTAGTTACTTGCTAGATCACTTGCTTTTGTTTGAAATTATGCTTTGTGTGGTTTTCAAAATACTTTTGAAAAGAGGCCATTGCTTAGGCAATCTTTGTAATTATCCCCGTTCGTAAGAATGTATACGAAGGTGTTTGATCTTTTGAAAATGTTTTCAAGTTTGTAAGATGTTTTGAAAGTGTTGGTGTTTGATTTAAAAAATAGCAAGGAGGTTTTTGTTTTGAAATTGAGCAAGTAACTAGGAACATTCTACCTACTCAAATGTATTTTATGTTCATTTCCTCTTTCCTTTGACATTGTTATCTTACCATTGATTTGATAAGTAACCCTATCTTTGGATGTAAAAGGGACGGGCGTGGATCATCGTATAACCATGATTAGAAATGTTGCAAGGTATCTTAGCATTTTCTTTAGGGACTAAGATCATTTTGAAAGGCAACATAGATAGCGTCATCGAGGGACTATGATCTTGTATTTTGCTTGTCTTCTCTAAGATACCTCACATGCGTAATATGACCATTTTTGTAAGGCAACCAAGTGGATTTACCCTAGGGGTGCGAGTGTGCGAGTGTATTGATTTACATGCATTTTTTTGTCTTTGATTCGGATTTTCTATTGATTGGTTTTAGTCTTTCCATACAAAACCCTAATTACTAGCATTTGTATATAAAGCGATAAATTGCGGAAATTAAAATTACTACGCTATTACATCATTTCGGGGAGGGGGTGTACAAATTACAAATGGGGATTTTTGCAAGAAAATTAAACCTAATTATCTATTACAACCATATTGAACATGTACAAATTGAAAATAAAAATGCAAATGCCAATGCCAATGGATAAAGAAATGATTTTTTTGTTTGGATTTTTATGAAAGGGGTTTTAACCTAATTAGGAAAATGGTTAATAAAATGAAATTACTTAAATTAATTAAGAAATTAAATTAACTAAAAAGGATTTTTAGGGTTTTTATGAAAAAGTTTTAAATTAAAAATAAAAGTGAAAATTAACTAATTAAAATAAACCTAAGTTCTAAATTAATTTAAATTTAAAAAATGATAGTATAATAATTAAATCTAATTTATCTAAATATTAATTAATTAAGAAAAGAAATTAATTTGTTAGAAAAAATGTTTTTTTTTTGTCTTTTTATCTAAAAGAACTTAAATGGAAAATATCCTAAATATCTAAATAATAAATATAAAATATTTTTGGTATTTTTATTTAATAAAATGATAATAATAATAATAATAATAATAATAATTGAAGAAAAAAATAAAAGAAAATTAAATATAACAATTAAAGTCACGGGGGTTAAAAAATAGAAATGGTGGTTAACAGTAGTAAAAGGGGCGCTAGGAATAAAAATCAAATAAATGGGCTTGTGTCAAAAAGCAAATAGGGGGGTGAGAAGCCAAAAATAATGCTCCAGGCCCAAAACAAATCAGCACCCTCTGGTGATCCAATGTGGGCAGCCTTGAAGGGTGCATCATGGGGACGTGCATGTGAGGTGTTGGATTTAATAGGTTGGCTGATCTGATGGTAATGGAGAAAGGCACATGGTACACGCGCTGGCTTGGTTTGCATTGAACCTGAAATAAGAAAAAGTGAAAAAATAAAAGGGTACCACTGGGGCTCAAACCCAGGTCCCTATAGTCACAGGCGCGCGCTTCTACCACTAGGGTGGCTATACATCTGTTTATTAATACAAAACCATAAATATATATATTTAAAACATATTCTAAGGCTTGTATCATCTTCAACCTCGCGCCAGACCATTCAACATGATTTTTTTTGAAATTTCTATCTCTCTCATTTCTCAACCATTTTCAAAAGTACAAACATGAAAGTTGCTGGAAATTTCATCACGAATCCAACCATGTAAATAACTTAAGCCAACAGTCAAAGATGAGTGAGAATTTTTCTGGCCCTAATTTAAAACCTAAAAATTTCAGAAACTTCAACTCTAAAATTCTCTAAGCTCAAGCCATATAAATGCAAACTATGATATGTATAGCTTCATGGAAATGGTATCTACATTTTATTTTCACAAATCAGAATCAAATGATGCTAGTATGAAGAGGTAGACGTTTGAAAACTTACCTCTTACAGCTGGAATCGTGTATGGAGTTTGAGCAACCTTTGAGATGGCCTGATAATTTCTGTAGCTTGCCTAGACCTCCTTGAATGTGTTCCAACTCCTACTTTGCTTTGAGGATGGTTGCAATCCCAACTCAAGTCAAGTTGCAAGCTTCAGTTTTGAAAATGGTGGATAGTGATGGAGGAGTTACAGTCTTGAAATAGGGGCTTGGATCACTTGTATATGATGTAAGTAAGGTGTCTGGATGGTTAAGAATCAAAATGCACGAGTGGAAATGGAGATGGAGAGTTTTGGCTCAAAATTGTCAAGTGGGACAGTTCAGTGCAGCAAGGGTCCTTAGGACCTTGAAATCGTGTGTGATGTTGCAATATACTTGTGCATAAGTAAGGAAAAGGTTAGAGTACTTGAGGAGGTGAAAAGCACAAGATGTAGAGTTATGGCTATGTTACTTGATTTTGAAGAAAAGTTAACACATGGTCTCAAGGCATAGTACAAGGATGGCCTGAGTTTATAGGAGGATCTAGACATGTTTCTTTCGCCTTTGACATTGCTTGTGATCAGAAGGAACAAGTACAAATCTCTATGCATTGACTTTGTGATTAAAGCTTCTTTACAAGAATGGAATGGTTACTTTGTGCCATAAATAGAAATGTAACTTGGATAAAGGCTCAAGTGCTTGGATTAAAGCCCTAACAACTGTGTAAACATTTAATTATGGAGTGACAAACAAGTTTGAGGCCTGCAAAGCAAATATTATGCAGCCTAGGCTTGGATTTGAATTCTTGTTCATCATGAAATGGCTTGTAATTCAAGTTTGAAAACCCTAACTTCCTCTCTTCGATTCTCCTAACTCACAAATGATCTCAAGGAGTTCATGGACATTTTGGAAAGATTGTAATGTGCTATACAACTCCTCTTTGAATAACTTTTGAAAATTCCCCTTGGAACTAGGTGAAACTTGGGTCAGAAGTTAGGTCAAAATCCTGACCAAAACTAGGGCAAAAATTTCACTAAGTGTTCAATTTCAAGACCACGACTTTATGAATTAATAACTTGAGATCTAAGCACTTTTAGAAGAAGTTGTGTAAATAAATGTTGTAGATATCATGGAGATATACAACTTTCATGTTGAAAGTTTCTTCTGAATCGTCTTGCATCATGGTGAAAAATTGGCTCAAAGTTGTGAAAAAACATTAAGTTTTAAACACTTAGAAAAATTTCTAAGTTAGAAAACTTTGACTTTTCAAAATGAAATCTTGACTTTTTGATTTCTTGATGAATAAGTTTCATATTTTGACATGTTTTGATGAATTGTGATCTTTGACACTTGATTTTGACCAAAAAGTCAAAGTTTGACTTTTTAGTGTACAATTGACTTTTGATCAGTTGACTGAAAATTCACTATCAATCCAATTGATCTTGAGAAATGTTTGGGTCATGCCATTAGGTAAAAATGATTCAATTGAACTCTTGAGATCATGCCTCAAACCATTTAACCATTTGCTAGGTCAAAAATCAGAAATTGCCTTTCCTCAGTCAAAACCCTAGTTTTGACCATTTTGCCCTTTTGATGATTTGATCAGATTTCTTGAGGAATTATGGTCCAAACTTTATCAAATTATACATATGAGTTTATAAAGTTTCTATGGATAAAAAATTATGAAGTTTTACTATAAATTGGCCACAATTGACTTTTTTCCCAATACAATTGATTTTTAGGTCAACTGCTCAATTGATTGAGAAAAAATGTGATCCAAGGCTTGAAACTTGACATGAGTAATCTTGGGGGTCCATAATGATCCATGAATGTTACATGAGGCATTGAAAGTTCAATTATCCTTGTGAAATCTCAAACCCTAATTTTGGTCATCAGTCCTTAAGGAGGTGCCTT